CCCAAGGAGACAACGACATCAGACATCAGTGGGAGTCGTTAAGTAGGTCTTGTTGTGGGCTCGAACCCACAACCTTCAGGCTCAAAGGCCCAACTGAGCCACTGTCACCCCAGCTCTATTCTTGTGTAAGTTAAAGGGGAAACCGTTTTTTTTTTTTTTTTTTAGCAAGCAAACAATCTGACTTATTTGTGTATTATTTTTATTTGTATGTTTTAGATGTGAAACTGTTTGAAATGAATTATGCTTGGGCAGTTTTTTAGTTTATCCGAGAAGTTATTGTCAAAATAAGTTTTACTCCCCGCACTGAGATACACATTGATTTTAGAGTGGTTCTAAATTTAGGTAGATATTTAATTTAGTTTCCTCTAAGTTTTTAACTATGATGATCGTGTCTATCATGGAATAAGTTTTGAACATTAGGAGGCAGAGAGACCTTACTTACTTACTTACTTCTTTAAAGCAGCTTGGGTCAGTTTAGTTGTATAGCTTGTGCTTTACCTGCTTATTTGGAGTTTCTGCGCTAACAGCTGCCAGTCCTTCCCCTTGGCATTAGCGGAGTCAAAAGTGGCACTAATCCGCTGACGAATGGACGGAGGGATTTTAAAGGCCCTTGACCCCGTCTGAGAGGTGACGCTGCAGTCCGCCTGGCTGCAGAACGGTACCACTCCCTTTTCGTTCTGCAAAAAAGAGGCAAACATAACAAGCGCTTGAGGGCAATCTCTGCAAATACCGCAAGTTTCACGGGCAAAAGGCCAAGATAGCATCGAGACGGGTTTGAGCAAATACAGCTCCCCGAGTGGCTCATTAAACAGACCTTTAGAATCGAATGGAGAGTTATTCCGTGTGATAAAAACAGGCCACTCGGACGCTCTCGGTCTGGGCTGCCCACTCACCTCCAGAACCGACGTGTAGATCTGTAGGAGCTGCTCGTCACCTTGGACCTGCCTGACGCTGATCTTGCAGGAGACGTGAGTGGACGAGTGGTGGCTGTAGCGCTCGAGAGAGAAGGCACACTGCAGGGGGCGCTGGTGAGCAGTCCACACCTGAGAAAAGCTGAACTCCTGAAGGTGGGAACAGGACAGGGGGCGGTAAAGTTAAGTCATTGACTGCCGGCCGTTTTTGATGATTTCACTGATTCTCAAGACACACAGAATATTATTTCCTAAGACAATGTGAAATATGAAACCAGATTCTGAAAGACTGGATTATCTACTTTAATCAACACAAATAAGTCTGTTTCTAGCTATTTTTGTTGTCCTGTAATCTGCAGTCAAAAAGAGGCTCCAAGACAAATATGTCAATGGCAGTCAATGAGTTAATAATCTGTGTTGATAAGATAATGAATCATATATCATAGAGAGTTACAGATTTTTTTGCGTGTGTAGAGTTATTATGAATTTATCCTGTGCTGTGTGCTCCTCAACTTGTAACGCAACACTGAAATTCACCCACAAATAAAGGTTCTCTTAATCTCTATGGACATTGGTTATAGCGCTCCCTATGGACCAATGGCTCCTATGTGTCTGTTATTATTCTCTGATCTTTAAGAAGCTGTAATGATCTAATTTGTCCAGCAGAATTCAGTATTTCTGGTCAGACAGATTCAGGGCTGACAGATCCAGGGCTGACGCTTTGAAACAGTTGCAATACATTTGTAAGAAAAGCTACAAAAACCCATCACTACCAGGTTTTAAAGGAAGTCTTTTTCAGCCTTTTGTTGAAGTTCTTACAGATAATTAGAGCTTAATTCATGAGGTGCGGAAATAGCATAATGTCTGTCTGAATAATGTGAACTTTGGAATTCTGAAGCCTCTTTTCATCAGCATGACCATAACCGATGTCTGGCAAAACTCTGCATTGAGGTGAAGTTTTGAATACGCCACCAATTTTTATGACACATCTCAATCCTGTCCTGATCATGAGGAAATGTTCGATCATTCAACACCTGTTTTGTGCTTTCAATACAAAACTAAGAACACGGTGTTCATATCTGTACGATCTGTGCTGGAGAAGCTATAACTCACTCCTGCCCTGCTGTCACCCTCTTTTATAACCCTGAGCATATTTAATAACATATGAAATCAGTTTGGATTTGCATATGAATATGAAACCAAAGTTTGAGATTTATCGAACAATCACACGGCACGCCACCAGCTGAAACTGAAACGAACTCTGCAGTCTTTATTAACACTGCAAAAAATCATCTACTCACATTATTTCATTTTCACAATATTTAGACCAATTAAGTGATATTGAATCATTTACTCACAGAATGCCAGCCCTAAAGCGTCAAGAAGACAACCTTGAGTCTAAAAGCACAGATTTTTAGTCAAGCTGCAGAAACAACCACTACCACTACTTCTTCCTACTTTATCTCTAATCATGACAATTTCAGCTGTAGTCTGATTATTGCTATTCACCCGGACAACATGGTTCAAATCAAACAAACAGTCTTCTTCAGTATTCTCCAAACATGATCCAAAGACTTCATTGCAAGAAATGATATGAAGTATGGGGGTAATAATTGTGTGATTTTATTGAGTACATTCTGACTGTCTTAAAACCAGATTTGCCAACGGGACAAGCCATTTAGTCTTGATATATTTTTGTATCTTTGTAAAACAAGATCATTTTGCTCAACCCATTGGGAAATCTTGTTTAAGGCAGTCAAAATGTGCTCAAAGTACGATCACTTTTGCCAAAGTTGAGCGATTTTCAATCGAATTTTCAACACTTTTTGCAGTGTCTCAACCCTGAGAAGACGTGGCTTTGTTTGGATTAACTGTATGAAAAGACTGGGTGTGGATTTAAGCCGAAATCCTATGTCAATGTGCAGCATACAACCACTACCCTCCCATATGAAGAGCACCTTGTTGATATTCTACAGGCGCTGTGGGGTGGACTAATTCTGCTAATGGGATGTCACTGCTGGGATAAACATCACAGAGCGGAGCCAAACAGGCCGTCTGTAGACCCCTAGGTAGAGAGCTGTGAACCCCAATGCATGTGTGAAAGGGAATGCCTGGTAGTCATAATTAATTTTGTAAGGTTGCGCGAGTAGATAAGATAGCTATAGCCGTAGTGATCCCCTGCTGTGTCCTTGCCGCTGTCCTTCGGCTTTGATGCGGCCTCACAAGACATCACATGCAGGGGAGAGCTATAATAGATGATCAGAGGACGCACAGATGATGAAGGTGCACAGTTTCTTCCGAGGTCAGCACACAGCAAAGTTCAGAGTCAAATGCATTAACATTAGTGTCGGACGGGAGCCACCCAAGCTCAAAAGCAGAGGTGGTGAGCGGCGTACCTGGCAGGTGGTGAAAGGCTTGATGGTCCAGAGCAGCTGTGGGACGTCCTGGATGGACACCTGGAGACTGTTCTTGTTTCCCCGGAACACTATCTTTTTGGGTTCTTCCAGCAGACGGCCGCCTTGGCTCTGCTCTTCCACTGCCATTTCCTTATGAGTACATAAAAAAGAGTTTATGTTAATAGTCATCTATATAAAAGTATGTGTTAAATATAAGAACGGGCTGCAGTAAAGCATGAACTAGTGCAAACAAAATCAGCATCTTTTTAAGTTAGCCATATTTAGAATTTAGGGCTCATTCACATGTGTTGGTCTGGTTCACTTGAACTGGACCAGTTCTGGTTCTCTTGAGGCAAAAATGCTTTCATTGGAAGTAAACGTGTCTATGTAGAATCCAGAAGTTAGTTTACATCTTTTGAAACAGATCCAGATCTGTGGAGCATTTTCCCCACGTGAACCAGAGTTTTTTGAACTGAACGTTCCCTAAATAGGAATCTGAATATGCGCCCTGTTGTTAAATATGTCTACGCCCTGGAAGACCCTGTGCCAGAGCAGGACCAATAGTTGCACGGCTCATGCCAATAAAACTCACACCCAGTGGCACAGCGAGCAGAAAGGGAAATGCAAAGCATTCTGCTGTCTTCAGGCTGATCGATTCTGCTTCAAACTCACAGGGGAAATTAATCATTGTATGAAGCACAAACAAAAGGAATAGAAAAGCCCAAACCAAAACAATGTCTGACTGATGGAAAGAAGAAGTGAATTGACACCCACATCCAATTTTTCACATGTGATTCCACATCCCAAGAGCAACAACAACCGGAGCAGGAGAACTGAAGCAGCTGAAGTGCACTGGACATCCACCAACAATCTCTAAAAATGGGGGTAATTAGAGTATTACAAATGCACTCTAGCACAAAGTGTTTGGGAAACATTACCCTTGATGAGAAAAGTAGGTAATTTGCTCTGTTAATTGAGCCCTCATAGAGCAGAGGGAGATGCACCACACTGATAACCCTGATCTCATCGCTGAGAAAGTAGCTAATTTTAGTCCGGAAAGTCAGTAGGAATGCAATGTAGAAAGTCATTTAATTAACAGAGAGCAAATTAAATTAGACAAAGAAAGGGCAAAGAAGCAACCTTGAAGCATCTGTTGTCTTTGTAATTAAAACGCACTCTTTGTCTTCCAGTCATCAGGCGTCTCCCACTGGCCATGTTAGCGAGCGATCTGCAGCACGCACTCCGCACACAAACTCTTCAAGGCAGAAACACCAGCCACTGCCAACAAATCTACATCTGACTAAGTCATTAGCCAGTGATGTTTGACTCCCTCTTCACTTTTTAATTACCAGACTCATACACCACACAACATTTTCCTTGTTTTACACCACAGCAGTTTGTCTGGGTTTGTGACGACAGCAAAGGCCAGTGGCAGGTCAGCTAAAGACACGCCTCACCGAATAAGTCAAAGGAAAAGAATGTGTTTCCCTGCCATCCACAAGACTACAACAACTACACTGGTAAACAAGAGACTAAAGTCTGTGTGAAAGCCAGATCTTGTCAGGCCTCTGGAGCTAAGCAGGGCTGGGCCTGGTTAGTACTGTGATGGGAGACCTCTGGGGAACACCAGGTACCAAACTTTCAGACTCATGTGTGTGTGAATGGTTGGTGGGGGTCAGAGGGGGTGATGGTAAATCCTGGTTGCCTCGCTTCTGTCAGTGTGCCCCAGGGCAAATGTGGCTACTGTAGTAGTTTATCACCACTGTGTATGGAGAGTAGGGATGTAAAAAACTATGAATTTTCATGACCGACCACCGAGCCTCATTAACCGGTTGAAACCGGTTAACCGCGTAGTTTAAAATAGTCCACGTTCTTTGAAATAACAGCCATTTCGAGCCGCGTACTTTTCATAAGTGCAGCTCTGCGTTCTACTGGATCAGAGTTGAGACAGCGGCGCCCAAACCCGCAACAGCTCCGGCACCTTTGCGCACAGAGAACTGCTTTTTTAATCTTCCCATTCTGCTGTGCTGCGGGTTAATACCAAAACTTTCTAGCAGCAAACACGGCTCGTTCACATGGTCAGAGCAGCGAGTGACGAGCCGCGTCTCACAGGTCTTCACAAAAGTTTAAATACAAGTGATGTGTGTGGAGCTGATCCCGAGGACCATAAACACAAACATGTTCCATGTGGTTTGACTGGAGCCGCGTATTTGCGCGAATCCTTTGGGCTCCGTGACACAGAGGAGCGCGACAGACCTGTGTGTGTGTGTGTATGTGTGTGTGTATGTATATGTGTGTGTGTGTAAATGTAAGCTCCAATGTAGTTCTGACCCGCGCCAGTGTGCAACTTTGACGGTAACAGAGGGGAGAGATGATGCGTGTGGATGTTACGTATGGAGAGGGGGAAAGTGTGTGTGTGTGTGTGTGCGCGCGCGTGCGTGTGTGCATATGTGGCTCGTGCGGCGTGAGAGTCGTCCCGGAGTTTATAATACATGGGTATGCGCTCGTCACACTGTGCAAATAGGGCTTAAAATAGCGTTATTAAGAGACCTCCCCTCTCCCCTTTTTCTCTTTTTTAACCGACAGCTTTGACCGGTTAACGCTGTGACGGTCAACCACCGGTTAACCGGTCGCCGATTTACATCCCTAATGGAGAGAAAGAATAATGCCATCTTTGAGTATAAAAGTACTGCAGTAAACATCAAGAAAGTGACAAGGGACACTAAAATCCCCACAAAATCCGATCTTTATGAAAGCTGTAGGTTCTCTGTCAGCTGAGGTCGAGCTGTTTTAGTTTACATTGAGTTCTATGGGACTTTTTTCTGGGTAGCCCGCGTGAATTTAGTTTGCAGTACCACGGGCGCCCCCTGTGCCCATGGGTGGGACAGCTGTAAACTAGTAATACCCTATCCAGTTATTATTATTGATTCATGGTGTGACCCCCTGCTTTAGCTCATGCTGACAGAGTTACAGAGGACTCTTGAAACGGGTGAATATTAGCAGGACAGACATAGTAATGTGATGGTACCTGAAAGGCATACGGTGTGTCATCCAGGCAGTAGACCCTGAGGGTGAAGCCCAGAGCGTTGCTGGGGTCCGGGCTCCCGAACACTGCCAGCTGTAGTCTCTTGGCTGCGTCCTGGTTCAGTGGTTCTCCCACAAGAGCATACTGTCCTGGCTGCTGCAAAAGCACATGGCAATTCTGAGCTTCCAGCAGACAGTAGCAGCTCGTACTCTCCTCCTCCACGGACACCACTTCCTGTAAAGAAGACATTTTTATGTTTAGATTAGAAGAAGACAAAAAAGATTATTATGTCAGAGGTTGAAAACAGATTCAAAATGCTTCACACAAAATGTATTTTCAGTTAAGTAAGAAAGCTCCCAGAGATTTCTCATTTTTTCCCCCTGGGTTTTTAGAGTTTTTCTTTAACCATTCAGGACAACAGCATTTATATACATGGGTCATCTGCCCCTTATGGACCAATGGCGGCACTGCAAAAAGCGATAAAATATGAGGCAATAAATGCTCAATTAAATCAAGTTGTTTTTATCTTAATTTGGATACATTCAGTCTGTCTTTAAACAATATTTGCCAATTTCCTCTAATTTCTACAACTGTTGCTTTATTTTCTCATTCCGAAAGAGACATTTCTTGTATATTTTTAAGCCAGTCAAAATGAGCTACAAATTAAGAAACATTTTGCCAAATTTGAGCGATGTTTTACTTATTTTTATAACTTTTTGCAGCGTGTATGTGTTTTTTTTCATCGTTGCATTTCTTGTGTTAAAGTTTTGTAAAGTCCTCTGAGATAACCACAGTTGTGATTTAGGACTATACAAGAACACATTGAATTGAATTGAATGAAGAAAGCAAAAACTAACAACTAAATAGTACTTTATCGATCCCAAAATCTATCTTTGTCATTGTCTTTGATGCGACGGATGAATAGAGACGTTTTGAGAGCTACACGCAGTACAAATAAGCCCCTTTGACACGTCCTGTCCGAGGGTGAAATGCTGTGCCCTTTATGGTCCGGCTCCAAACAGAGAGGAGAATATCGCGCTATAGTCAGGTAACCATCTCTCCAAAAGTCGTAAAAAGCCTTTGAGGGTAATTTAGTGAAGTAAAGTCATCCAAATCTGCCTCATTAGGCTCGTCTAAGTGAGGCATCTGCATGACATCCCCATCCTCTCCGACGGAAAGAGATGATGGAGTCAAACTGTAACGGGCAAAGTGCACACGGTAATGGGATTGGCACCGAGGAAGACGGAAGGGGGAAAGAAATGAAAGCGCAGGACATAGACCCCCATCTCTTTTATGTCACTAATTTCCAACACGAGCAGTTTGAGTAAGGATCCTTGCCTGAGATAAAGGGCTCGTTATCTCACAGCGACAGAGAAGGGTCAGACATTTTTTTTCTCTCCAGCATCCATCTTGCCTGCTTCATCTTCTCTACTACAGTACATGTATTTTTCTGTGGCCTATGCGTGTGTCTCGGCGGTGTACGGTGATGGCTCCCTTTGTGGCGCTCATCTGCTGGTAAATTACGGCTGTGTAAATGTCAATCTGGGGAGAATGTGTGTTGAGAAAGAGGCAAGGTCATGTGAACTGTAGCCTCGACAGATTCGGCTCCAGACAGGTCTACTACAACACTTCTGATGAGGTGCTTTTACACATCTGGTAACCGGGTTTGACATGCACAGGGAAGAAAAGGGGGTGTTAATCTTTCAGAGTGAACGTACACAGAAAAAAATGATAAAATATGAGGTAGTAATTGCTTGAATCTAGTGATTTTTAGCTTAATCTGAGTACATTCTGACTGTTTTTAAACAAGATTTGCCAATGGGACAAAGCCATTTAGTCTAATTTCAAGAATGGCTGGCTTTCTTTTCTCAATCCAAGGGAGACATTTCTTGTATCTATTTAAAACAATATACTTTTGCTTTGTCCCATTGGCAAATCTTGTTTTAAGGCAGTCAAAATGTGCAAAAATTACAAATATTTTTCCAAAGTTGAGCAATTTTTGACTTGTTTTTCATCTCTTTTTTGGGGTGAATTTGATCCCAGATGGCACGCAGGAACACATTCATTTTATAATAATGAAGTAGAAGTAGTAAAATAATTATTCTACACAATAATGAGTAGAATTGACTCTATAAATGTGACCAGACATGGACCAAAGAGTACATTTTTTACTGATTTCAAGTGGGACCAAAATATTACATCTGTTTTTACTGTGTGTGTGCTCTTTTTTCATTACACAAAGGAGGATTGGACAAGCCGTAATGAGTGCAGAAGCTAAGTATCTTCTTTTAAATGAGATAACTGGTCTGAATCCCAGAACCAGGCCAAGTCCAGAGCAAGACCTCTGACGCCCAGGACCAGAGTGAGACCTGGAAAAGACCTCTGGCTCCCAGGAGAGAGGAGCGTGGAGAGACTGCTAATCCAAGCCTAGAAACCGGTTTGTTATTTCTTTGTTTGGGGGAATATTACTTGTGGGGAATATTCTCAGTTCTCCATCTGACAAATTGTGTTTTGAAGAAAAGGTGAAATATTTTCTGCCCCGTTTGTCATATCTGGCAACACGTTGTAATGTATTGTAGATCATCATTTCATTGACGTATTGAAGTACTGAAGAGTGCATTTGTGTCCCAAATAAAAAATAATTATGACAATAGAGGAAATGACATACAATATATAATAATGTCTGTAATTCATTAAGAATTGTTGTCTGAGAGGGCCTCACCTCCCACTTGTCCAAGACACGTCTCTTTAGCCGAACTGTCCAATTGACAGAGGTCTCGGCACAATGAGCTATGGTCATGGCTATAGGGCAGGACAGGTCCAGGCCAGCGGGGCCGTATGAGACCGAGGGACTGAGGAAGATCTCTGCTCCGTCTTCAGAGAGAGCACTGCAACACATTATGACAAACACATCATGCACAAATCCTCGGAAATGGTCGGGATCATTTATGACACTGGTCTTCATGTCCCGATTAGAGAAAAAAACACATTGCATAAATCATACTGATAAACAATATAAATCAGTGCTTATGCAGATGCCAGTGTATGTAACCCCAGCCTGCACTCATAAATAACATCAAGTAAGCCTTGATGAATCAGTCCCTGACAAGCTGACATGCAGACATTCAAATAGATGAAGATTAAAGCACCAAGACGAATGGACGGAGGGTCTGGGGAGGACAGGCCCTCGTGCACAGCGTGTATGCAGTGGGTCAATGGGGCTTATGAAGCCCGCTCCAGTCGCCTGGTGACAGATTAGGAAAGCTGCTCTTGGCCAGGGGCGTAATCTTGGCTGGAAGCCCTAAAGACAGAGAGCAATCGATGGGTCTAACATCAGTCATGCAGCTGCCCTGGCCGGACACCTCCGCACAGAGGACATGCTGTTGTCACTGGAGCAGTGGGGACATTTTCTCCACATCATTAATACTAGAGACTAGAGCCAGTTGGACATAAAGCACATACAAACACAGAGCTATGCCTCAAAAATGATAATATTGTGAAGAAGGTACTGTAACAATGTCATGGCACATTGATTCTCTATTTCTTGCAGAAGGAGGCAACGTATTGAATCCAGAGAGATGTGTGGCTCTACTTGCATTTGTCTGAAGGAATCAGTTCACTTCAGTCACATCACTGATATGACTGAGGAGACTCTGGGACACTGAACACCTTTGGACTTGCATCTCCACATTAGAAGCCAATGAATCCCCTAATGCACAAGTTTGATTCTATTGGACCAAGTCTGAACACACCTAAAACAACCTTTTTGATTGATTGTCATGATCTGAAAGCCATAATAATCAACAAAACTAGAACTTTAAACTTATGAACTATAGCACTATGTATCACTATACCGTTTTGATACATGTGGAAAATATCAGCCTCAGAATCAGTTAAAGTGACTTTTCATGACATTATTAGGGGATAACATTCTTACGATGACAGAACTATTTCTCAATTACAGCACGTGTGCAGAGGGTGATGAAGGTTTTTGATGAAGGAAAACAAAGTGTTATAATGAAGGAGTCTAAAAATACAATAATACAGTGAGAGAAGACGATGACCCTGCAGCTGCACTTTGTGCAAATCAGCCCTGGGCCCAGAGAAAAACAAGGTTACCTGCTGCTGCAAAGTCTATGCTAATTGGGCAGATTGCCTGCGAGCAAAGATTAAAGATGGTTACTTAGCATCTTTGATTCTGCTTATGAGAACAAAGGAGAGTCTCTCTGGCATTACGCCTCATATCATAGCAGTTTGAAGTTATTAGATTACATGAGAATAAATATATTTTTCTAATAACTGATTTACTAAATAAATAATTTATATATTTTGTATGTGTTTTAATAATGCACGGCATATCCACACTACAAAGATGATAAGGCTGACTTCATGATGTCCAGTGGGGACTGCTGCTGCAGACTGACTGATGGTGTCCTTGCTCCACCCAGAGCCACCCGCTGAGCCTCTCACACACACTGTAATCCCAGTGGACGTGGAGATGCTCTTGTGAACACCTGAAACCAAGCCAGAGTGGATCGATCCCTATTCTATGCTGAGGCAAGCAGAGTCTTATGCAGATAGCCAGGGTTTAGAAGGGAGAAAGGATCGGATGTCTAACCCTGGACTCTGCAGTTGTCAGAAGATAGGGTTTGAGTGACAGCTCAGTGGTGCACGGCTCCTGCAGCTCAGAAAAGGACCGGCAGAGGAGTAAACACAATCAGGCTTATCAGAGCTGAGCAGCAGCCGGGCTCAGCTGGGGACACTGACACTCTGGGCCTAAAGTGAGAACGCAGCTTTGAGCCACAACCTTCAGCTAACCCCTGATCTGTATCTGTGCTCACACCACCCTGACCTATTAACGAACGGAGAGGACGAGAAAGGACCAAAGTGTTTCATTTGTGGTCTACATGTCACTCCACTGTTGAAGTCATCTCCATCTCGGGTATCTGCATGTTCGTTTACTGTGCTGAAGAAAACTCACAAATTCACAACAATAATTGAAACATATTATAAGATTCATCCAAGTCTGTTAACAGAAACTGAAAGATGCATGTTGACAACACTGTGTAAGAGAAGACAGGAAAGGAAAAAAATAGGACTCCCAGAATTCTGACACGATTCTAGCCCAAGCTGAGACCGCTCTGAATGAGTCCAGGACCATAATTATTCATTCATTCATTCATAAACATAATTAAACATGAACTACACATAGAAACAGAAAACGTCACAATGTTATACCGACAAAAACCATACATAAACAGAGAGAAAAAAAAGAAAGTCTGCTGCTGCAACTAACAACCTTGAACTTGAACTTGACCTAATAACATTTGCTAAAACTAAAAGTCGTCAAATTTTATACTTGTCCTTTGATGCTAGAGTTAGAGATTTTGTTGTATTTTAATTAGTATAGCAGCTATTGTTCATTTATCTTGTGCTGTGTGCTCCTCTTTCCTACTGTTCTATAACTTGTGATGCAACACTGAAATTTCCCCACTGTAGGACAAATAAAGAATTTCATAATCTCTTAAAGGTGCAGGAAGCGATATTGTTAGCTTAGCCACTCCCCCCTCCCCTCGCCTCTCCAACAAACCAAACATCCAGCATTTGCCACCCAGAGTGGGTGGCAAACGTGAAATTGGCATTTTCTGTTTTTTAAGGTTTTAGATAATAATCCAATAAATCAGGTGCGCGCACTCGCAAGAAACAGGAAGAGGGTGAAGGAGGTCAACGATTCCCATTGGTTTATTTTTATCGGTCCGCTCCAAAATGCAGTATTTTGCATTATTTTTTGGAGACTATAGGCATATGGTCAATTCCATTACTATTTGTAAACACATGATTACTCGACTAATTTTAGGGTTTAGGGACATTTTTGCACATTATTTAAAAAAATGCGTCTGGAAAAAATCACTGATTGCATTTTTAATCTTAATCTTAATCTTGATCGCTCAGGGAATTCTAGTAATAAAGTCAGTAAAAAAAAATGCATGTAGACAACACAGAGCCGGAGCAGACAGAGACATTAAAATAAGTTAAAAATAAAAACAAACAAGAAAAAGCTGCCGTGGCCTGTACCTGCTGTCCTCCTGGCTGATAATCATGTACATTTCCCATGTCGTGTCTTCTGCGATCCCTCCGTGTGGCACCAGGAGACTGATGCCTGCAGAGAAACCAGGAAACAGTGAATGGCACATACGACACACAGCCGCCTGCACCTGCTGAGCTGTCATCAGAACTTTCATCAGATGACAGTCACAGAGCTACTGTCCCACAAACACCATACTGTAGAAACCCCCTGTACCCCTGTGTGAGCCAAGGCAAGCAGCAAAAGTGAGCTAGAATATGCTCTTAAGGACCACGTTTGGCCCAAAGACATACAACTATAGTCTGTTTACGGCATCAAGTTCATATACGGAATCGGGACGGAAGAGGAAGAATAGAATTTAGAATTAGTTTTAGACAAATAAGTCCTCAAGTGGTGACTGGTTAAGTTTTAGGTGTCTGAGTAAGATTTTTTCTTTTTTTAATAGTAAATTAATATTGCACACAAGGAGTGGGCTGAAGCAAAAAGCTTATAGCACCGCACCCCCAAAGTCAACTACAATCAAACTTTACATATTATAATGAAAATAGTACAGAACAAGGATACAAAGGCACACAAAAGAGCCACATCTGACCAGAGAGAGACCAGAGCCTCACTGACAAAAGGACAAAATAGATTTTAAGTTGACGTTTCAGTCACACTTTAAACTGTTCTTATTCTTTTTACCAGAGTGAGACACAACAACAGTCGGGTTAAGACAGATCTCCAAAAAGCAAGAGACACATTATCACCATATAATTATTTTAGATATACTGACAGCAAGTTACTGAGAACTGATTAAACCCATTTTGCTCAAAAAAGAGATGTTGCCGCTAGATGGTTATGGTTAGGGTTAAGGGTGGGTTGGGGTTATTTAATGGGAACGGCTGGTTAAGTTTAGGCATGAATAGGTAGTTGGTTATATTCACTTCCGCTTCCGTCCTAATTCCGTATATGATCTAGTGCTGACCGTACACATACGTCCATGCAGCGGTGTATACGCAACTCCTCTGGTGACAGGATGATGAATGGGGGGCCATAAAGAAGATTCAAATTCAAATTCAAATAACTTTATTAATCCGTGTGGAAGTTAATTTGCAGACAGAGCACCAGTGCGAATCCATAACAACACAGAGACAAGAGCGAAATCCGGGACTACAAGTGTAAATTAGCGCTGCTGCTACAAGCTGGTATAATTCCTGTGACAATAAAAATCATACAAAATCATAAAATACTAAATATAATTAATAATAGTACTGAAATGCAGTTTTAAATACGTACATAGATCAGACCATGCCCCAAATCAGCAGTTAAAAAGGAAGATTGAGGTGGGGAGAGGTCTGGATGTGGCCCTTTTTGTCATGGTGTGGATCTGGTGTCATTTTTACTTGGTTTTATTTTGTGTCATTTTTTACGTCCTAACTCTGGTTTTGTTTTAACTTTAGTTTCTGTTCTTCTGTGTTGACCGTCTAACCCCGCCCTCATGTGTTCACCCGTGTCTCTCTTTGTCTAGCTTGCTGATCCAATAAAAGTTTGAAGGCACTGACGGGATTTACTAAAGGAATAGTTTTATTTTTTCTCACACACATAAGAATGAAACCTGAAGCAGAAAGCATCCTGAGACGAAAGACACAGTATCTGATGGTTGCTACCGGCTAATAAATGAAAGAAGAAGAAGTTGCTGGTCCATCGACTTTGTGTGTCCTCGTCTGTCGTTTCCTGGTTCTGTTATTGGAGGTGAATGTGAAAGAGTCCGATGATCTTGCTGTCATGTTGTGAAGTCAAGGAGGACCCAAAAAGAGGTAATGCAAAAATAATGATTTGACGAAGATAATAAAATAAAGGTCAAGGGTAAAAAACGAACCAAAAATTCAAACGAAACTCAGGGACAAAGACAAGCAAGGGGAGAGGAGCACAGGTACATATAGACACAGAGACACAGAAAGACAGAGATGAAACACCTGAGGGCGGGGCAGACAATCAACACCGAGGAACTGCACAGGAAGTAGAACTGAAAAAATGAAACCACAAAACTAATGTCAAAATAAAACCGATTACGAAAATATAATCCACACTGTGGCAATTGCAACTGATTTGAATGATCTTTTTTAAAGAGATTTTCCGACGTGTGAAACTTGAGAGAACCAAACCTGGCTGTGATTTTAAAAGTGAAAATGAAGGAGAATGAGAATGATCTATGAACCTGTAGCTCACATCATTTACAGAAGGAAAAAGACAGCGCTGTTGACAAAAAATATAGATGTGTTAATAATTAAAAGGCCACGCATTATACAGCACTTGCTTTGAACTGCTGTGATTATTAGTAACGCTTTTAAGAGGCATTTTTATTGTGTAGATTCTGAGCAAATGTCACTGCTGTCGATGCTCAGCTCTTTGCTAAATAATATATTCCTGTTCGTGTTGCGGAGTTAGCGAAGGGCATTTCCGCAGATAACGATGACAATGTCAAACAATTTTAAAAATGCTACAGCCGGCGCTCTTTGCCCCGGTGTCAGGGACTGATAGCTTTAACATTTGATAACATTTGAGTGGGATTAGTCCTTGTCTAGAAGAATATATACGTATCAATTGGAGGGTGACAGATGACACGGCTACACTGCAAAAAATAGATCAAATATGGAGGTAATAAATGCATATATATTGAGTGGTTTTGATCCGTATTTGTTTTTTTGGCCCTCTGATGTGACTTTGACAACCCTGTGTTATTGTCTGTTAACTGAAACAAATGCAGGTTGACAACACAGAGCAAGAGAAGACAGAGAGAGAGACATCAAAACAAGTTACAAGATAAGTCTGCACTGCAAAAAATGACCAAATATGACTTAATAATTGCTTGAATGTAGTGGTTTTTATCTTAGTTTGAGTACTTTCTGACTGTCTTAAAACAAGATTTGCCGATGGGACAAAGCCATTTAGTCTAGTCCAAGAATTGTTGGTTAATTTCCAAGGGAGACATTTCTTGTATATTTTTAAAACAGCATAATTTGCTTTCCCATTGGTAAATCTTGTTTTAAGGCTGTCAAAATGTGCTCAAATTAAGATACATTTTTCCAAATTTGAGCAATTAGCAGCCCGTTTTTTCTGAACTTTTTGCAGTGTAAAAACGTCCTAAAAGGAAGTTCCCCAGTCATTTTGACAGCTCCCATTAAAATGAATGACAATTGACAACAACCAAAAAAAGACAGATTTAGTTATTTACTATTTTTTAAAATCAGAATTAAGCAATGAAAACCATTTTTTTATCTTTAATATTTGCCACAACTGATTAAATGCATGAAATACAACAAAACTAAATGCTAACTGCAGCAAATAAACAATGTGTTGCTATGGTAACTAGCACTTGCTCCGTGGTGAGACTGCTCTGAACCAGTCCAGGACCAGGGGATAGGATTGAGATCATTTCATAAACATAATTACACATAAACTACATACAGAAACAGAAAAAGTCACAAAGTTATGAAGATAAAAAACGTACGTCAACGGTATAAATACATTTCCAAACCAAAAAGCCGTACACATATCAATGGTATGACAGTTTTCCCACCTGTGTTTGGCACCACCAGCTTTCCTCCTGCGTGGCCGAACACCGCAGACGTTCTGTGCACAGGTTTACTCGTCCACTGCGAGACCGGAGCGTTGAAGAGATTCTTTCCTCTCCTGCCAAACGTCGGCCCCACTTGTATCGCTCTGTAGTCCGGAGCCAGACCCCTGGGAAAGGTCTGTGGATGGGACATGATGGGGTACTCTGTCTGCTCCGTGACTCCTGAGAATGACACAGAAGGGAAATTTCAGTGTTGCATCACCGGTTACAGAACAGAACGTTAGCATAAAAAGCAGCAAGTATAAAATCTCTATAGCTTTAGCATAATAAGGAAGAGTACAGTATCTATCTTAACTCTCCAACTTTTGCATAATGAAGAAGCAAGAAAAAATTAAATAAAAAAAGTATAAAGTCCCATCTTTAGCATAATAAAGCACTATATATTCTAGAGCAGGCATGTCCAAACTAAGGCCCAAGAGCCAATTGCGGCCCGTTGTGTCATTCTATGTGGCCCTGTGCCTTGCTAACCCAAAATACCATTGAGATTATAAGCACAAGTTCTCCAGCCATCTTCCACTTCTGCAATACAGGCATGTTACAAATACATCGTGGTGAAGCTCAAAACCATTTGAATCCATTAAATTTGTATGCACAGACACTTGCATGTTTTATTATGGCACAAAAATGTGTATGTGGCTCTGATGTACAGTAGCAATCGAGAAAACTTTTCAATTAACTTCAGCTCTCACAGATGATGTATAACTGCTCATGTTATACCTCATTCAGCGTCTCAAAATAGACTATTTTTACACTCCAGTTCTAGAGCAAGAAAATGAGTTTGACTGTTGTTGGTATGGATTTTCCCCTTTATCTGATGACCGTGCCCCTGTCCATGGCGTCTGGCTTGCCCCTCCTGGCTGACCCCGCTGACCAATCCTGTGGAACCTGAGACCTCACAGCCAATATATAGAGGATGGACTAGTTTGAGGGTTCTTGGTTCGTCTCAACTCTCGATGCAACATGTAGCAGGCCTAGGACTCCAGGGTTCTCTCTCTCTCTCTATGATATTTTCTTTTGTCTGTATGTTTCTTGAACTGTATGCAACAAGAACTGCTGAGTCTCAAAGTGTCACTGATAATAATTCACTAGTAACTTTGTCACTAGTCACTTTACCTGTTATTATCATTACTGCATTATTACATATCCATCTGATACTTATACCATTCACTAGTCACTTTACCTGTTGATATTATTACTGATGTTTATTCTGCTCATATTCTCCGCTGCTAAAGTACACTATACACATCTGTAAATACTTCTGAACCAAGTGCAATTGTAGCTCCAGAGTTTATTCTATTTTACCATCTTATTATCTTATTTTAATTCTATTGTCCATTATCTTATAGTGCTCTTATTACCTTCTTTCTCTGCTTTAATGTGCGCAACGATGACACTGAAATTTCCCCAACGTGAGACGAGTAAAGGAATCTTATCTTGTAATTACTCAGTGTTTGGGACTACAGTATGTGCAGCAACGATTCCATTTGCATGATAACAACTATAATGGTACCTTTGACTTTGATGTCGGGCATAGGATCCAGGAGCAAGCGTTCTGCCATCAGCTCCTTGTCGATGGAGTCCTGGAAACACATGGGGCTGGTGTAGGTGCGCGACACGGTCAGATCTGCCTGCATAGATGAGTTGATGAGGAGAGGGTTGGCTGGAAAAGAGAAGAGATACAAACAAAACAAAAACACATTAAAACAAAGAAGAGAAATGTTAAATTAATTGAGCAATTTATCATGAAAGAAATAAAATCTGTCAGTTGTGTTGTTGTCTGGATCTCTTTGGTACTTTCAGAATATAAATTGGGAAAAAGGGATACACATTCTTTCATTTCCTTCTGCTTATCTGGGATCTAAACGTCCCTGTGCATGGACTTTCTCCAGGTCATCCAGAGGAGCTTAACCCCCCCTGGATGTGGAGGAGGTTTTTTTTGTATAGCACTGTCCATACACAAGGTAACTTCAAGTCTTTTCGGGTAATTTTAACGGAGAAATTGTGGGAAAATGATGTGTGGCAGTTTCAGGGTTGGTAAATTAACACAGGACCCAAACCTAATAGACAGGAGAGGTCGGTGAGAGACCCCCTCGGGATTTGTTGTTCTCACACTGTCTAACTGAAATATGTTAGATACTTGTGCAAAACTTTTAACTCTTATTGTAAAAATCGAATCCAGTTTTCATGCATGTTGCGCACACTGGCAGCTTTTACATAAAAAATGCAGTGAGCAGGTATTTAACTGCAAAAAATGATAATATATGAAGTAAAAATGTGCTTGATTTTTATCTTAATTTCTGTATATTTTGACGACATTCTTTCTTTTTGCATTCCAAGGGAGAAATGTATTGTTTCTTTTTAAAACTAGATCCTTTTTCTTGTCCCACCTTGTTTTAAGGCGTTCAGGATGTGCTTAAATTAAGATACATTTGACCAAATTGTACTAATTTTTGACTTATTTTCCTTCACTTTTTGCAGTCCAGTTACCACTACTACAACACCTTGGTTCTGTATGAAGTATTGCAGGCTCTGAGAAGCTGAATACAGACAGACATACAGGACTCCAGAGAAAATTAACTGTAGAGCCGTAGATAGATAGATGAACTGCTTCTCCGTTGATATAACCGTAGAGCCAGAGCTGAGTGGTGGACCCAGAGGTGCGTGGTGGAACTGGTGGTGTGCTCGGCTGATGCAACACGAGTGCCAGTGCTTAACCTATGGATGGAGGAGTGACGCCCTTCTCCCACTGGTCTGCTGCTGTTGGATGCTGTTGGATGCTGTTGGATAGACAACCTGAAGCATGATGTGGACACCTGCCTCTCCATGTCTCTGCTCTGACCTGACCTTGCTTCCAGCCCATGTGACTTACCTGGAGGTGCTTCCCCGGGTCTGTTGCTGCTCTCCACACCACAGGGCTGTAACACTGAGGCAGAACTTTCACCTTTAATCTGAACCCTTCATTATCAGACGCTTAATAGCTCCTCTCGTTCTGCCACTCAAACCCCAACACCTTATTAAGTTAATGGTTAAAAGGGGGTTATTAAGTTTTAAAATGCGGGTTTCGATTCATACTGTGGTCCACCTGCTCTTACCTAAGAATACAATCACAGCCTGAACAGTATGGAACAGGATGTGTGTGATTATCTGTAGGATGTTTATGGCCTGATATAAGAACATGTAAAGTCTCCTGCTGTGTATTCAAAATGAACTTTGTTGCTGCTGAAAGCTGTTGCTAAGGTAACCCTCTAGGCCAGGGGTGGCCAACCAGTCAGAGACTAAGAGCCAATTTTTTTACTGTATTACAGCAAAGAGCCACATCATACAAATGTGCACTACATAAACATCACCCCAACCCTTACACACGCACACGCGCACGTACTGTACGCACTCGAGCAGACACGCGCAGACACATGCAATCTGTCTGAGCAGAGAGAGGTGTGCTCTGCTCAGATAGATGTATTGTAAATGTCATCAACATGATAATGACAGAAATTGACTCGTACAGTACTAAAGGGCTGGACTCGACTCTCCCTGGTTTGCGGGCGCTTCCACCGCTCGCTTCAACCGCTCCCCGGTACTTTTTATTATGGTTTGGCCCTGGTTCTAACCGGGCGAGTCGATACCAGAACAATCTCACGTCAGCGAACATCAATTATGATTCCGAAATGAATGCTTTCAATCTCTAACCAAGAAAAAAAATCGAGTTTCAACCCAGTGTTCAGCAGAAACACAACTGTCTTTATCGAACCATGATTCACTCTGACTGCGTTTAGTAAAAGATATAGATTTGACACATAACACCAACACCACCTTAGCTGATTTAGAACCACAGACACATGTTCAGTATAAGACCAGATACTTTTGCATTTGATTGAAGACAGACACTCACCAGGCAGAGTTGGCTTATCTCCTGGTGTAATGCTAGTTGTTGTTAGCTGGTTTTAGCATGTTAGCCGGTGTTAGCCGATGTCCGTAAATGTAATCCATTTGGTCAAACCACCTCCAGACTTTTCGGTTCTGCCTCTACTTCTGCTGCTGTGATCTTTCATTTCACGGTTGTCACTTTTAAGCTTTTTAATTTTTCTCTGCATTGTCATGTTCGTGGGAATCATTCTGCTCCGTCCTTAGCGCTAGCTCCACAAACACCTTCTGGTTTCTGGTGGAACCATCGAGCTCACACTGGTGTCCTCTCTTCAAACTGAGGAAGGTGTTGCCCTCATCCAGCGACCAAGGAACTGTTTTCCGTACGGACGCCATGGGTCGAGGCAACGTGTTGTTTGTTATGATATTTGCAACAGCTGAGGCAGCAGCTGCAGAGTGACTGACCAATCAGAATTGACGTTCGCCGACGTCAGATTGTTTTGGCGGCCCGGCTAGTGGAGTGAAGTCGGCCTTTACTATGGGTCAGAACTACATAGAGAATGAAAGGCAGCGCCACCACCGAGGCGTTTTTGACGCTTGTCATGTGAAAGCCCGAGAGCCGCACGGAACCAGCCAAAGAGCCGCATGCGGCTCACGAGCCGCGGGTTGGCCACCCCTGTTCTAGGCCAATTCGCTTTAGTAAAAATATGTCTCCTTTGTGTGTTGCCCGTGAAAGCTGTCCTCTTTTTATGTTGGAATAATGCAAGAATGAAAACACTAATCTGACAGACACCAAAGCGTTCATAAAGCATTGTCAAACCAAAACCTCAAAACCTTCACTATCCACAGGGACGTTTTGGTCTGGTTCTTTATGTCTGAACATCCTGCACCACTTTGAGAATAGATTCCCCATCCAATTCTACACAATTTCATTTTTTAAATTTCTATACCAATGGTTTTTTAATCTCAGCATTTTGAAACACATGGATTCAAAGTATAAGTGTTAAGGGACATTTGATACTGTTATAACCCGAAACGTGGCTCAGGAAGGGGAAAGAAACGTAACATGATAACTATATGTAAACGATAAATCAAATGGCTTCAATTATTCTGAGGCAGAAAAGGTCAAAGTAGAAAAGTATTTACATAACTTAAAGACGCTATACCCGATTTTTTTTTAATGAGTTCAAAAAAATGCTTATTACTACATACAAGTTGTATTAAAATCCGTAATTTAATTGAAAACTTGAGCTCATTGATTCAGCTGTGCATGAATTCAGGCCGTAAAAAGTGCTGAGTGGAGACTTTAGCGTGACGCCCGCTCTCCTCCAATCACAGAACGAGGCTGCGTCCTCTAGCCTCTACAGCGCTGCTAAACTCAGTAGCATGTTAGCGGAATTGGCTATAACTCCTCTGGCTGTAACTGCAGACACAGCAAAACCGCCCAAACAGCACAACAGTGAAGAAGAGAAGAGGGAACTAAAGCGAAAAAATTATCAGAGAAGAAATCAAGCCCGGGTGAACATAGGGACCTATGGGAGAGACCTGCGGGACCGCCTCGGACTATCTATGCTCGGACTATCTATGCTCGGACCACATTCGGACGCGGAATTAGCGGTAATCTTTCAGTTATATATTTTGTTAGCAGTGCGTTGCTTTTGTACCATTTCATCAGTGATTGTTGCACAGCTTACATGAAGTTGCGCTCATGCTAATGTTAGCATATAGATCAGTTCTCAAATAAAACTAGACGGCTGCGTGGAATGAGAGCGTAGTGGAAATGAGAGACCTGTGAGCGAGTTGGGGGACGATGCTAAACATTCAAACCTTACAGAAATGGGTAAGTACGTAAGTAATCTTTATTTATATACCGCCTTTTACAGACCAGAGTCACAAAGCGGTTTACAAATGTTATTTTTTGGGCACTTGTCCTCTCACTCCACACAGAGATGGGAGCGGGGCCAGTACAGGAGGCGCATGCCAGACCTATTGTACATAATTTTAGTGGTAGGGGAAACCGGAGTACCCGGAGGAAACCTACGCAGACACGGGGAGAACATGCAAACTCCACTCAGAAAGGCCCTGGTCTGACCGGGATTCGAACCTTCTTGCTGGGAGGCGAGAGTGCTATCCACTCAGCCACCGTGCTGCCCGGGTATAGCTCCAGATCTTCCCAATACCTTACATCAAACACACACAAGTCCAAATTCTCTCCAGTCTCTGTTTTTCTAAATCCTGTTTGGACTCACCTTGGCGAGATGTTTTGAATGTGAACGACTGGAACCCCCCGGTGAGCGCAGAGGAGTCGATGACGTCCACCCCGTATTCACTCTGGCTCCGTCTGTAGAGCGTCACGGCCACGATCAGCACCACCACCGTGACCACGCCGGCGGCCAGGCCCGAGTACAGCGCCACGTCACTGCCGCCCTCCACGCCTGACACCACAACACAGGCATCACCTCAGCAAGGTCACATATGGATTTACATTCTTTACTTTATAGATAGATAGATACACTTTATTGATCCATCCATACAAACAAAGCAAATAAATGATTAATAAATAACAGTAGCTAACAATTGTAATAAAATGGGAGAAGGAGTGGGATTTAATAAGCTTTGGCTTCTTCTTACTCCTTTTGAACATGAATAAGTGTTAAGTCTTGTTGTTGACCTTTTTTTTTTTCTTTTTGTTGTCTTGTATTTAGTGTTTGTTTGTTTTGTTTTTATTCTGTTGTTTTTATTCCATGTTCAATTACATTTTAATACAGAGGCAACAGAACTTAAGGTCACAGCAACAGAGGTGGACCATCCCTCTGTGTGTGCGTGTGTGTGTGTGTGTGTGCGTGTGTGTGCGTGTTTGTGTGTGTTTGTGTGTGTGTGTACTTATTGATACAGGATATGTGGTTTGGTTGACATGAACATAAGGGATAGTTTTTAACCAAAATGTAAAGCACTTGTGTTGTGTTGCATTTGTATTAGGGCTGTCAAACGATTAAAATGTTTTAGTTGATTAATCGCACAGAAATGGTGAGTTAACTCACGATTAATCGCATTTTTAACATTCTATTTCAAATCCACTCCAATTGAAGTTAAATGAGATTATCAAATATAATGACACATTGTCATCCATACCAAATGTACTTAAATCTGTTTGCTTTTGGGCAAAACCAACATGAGCTGTTAATGAAAGGGGGAAATTTACATACCCCAGCTTTAATTCCGCGTTTCAGTTTAGTTTAGTTTCAGGAGGAAACAGGGACACTCCTGCGCTGTATTTGCGTGCACAGGTTACGCACAGGTTGCAAAGACACGAACACAACATGCAGACAATAGTTCTGTGGCGTGTTTGGTCTTATGACCATGTTACCGCGGCGCCACTCACTCACAGCCGCTCACAGCCGTGTTGTTGTGAGCGGCTCACTGCCAGAGCGGCCACCTGGCTCCTAATGCAAATGTCTCTGCGTTCACATGAGGTTGAAAAACGATGTAGTTCTAGCGCCCGGCCAGTAGTGGGCAGAGAAACTTTACAACACGACACACGACCCCCAGCCCCCCTCCCGGCAGTATATTCACTTCCTGTGCCAGACCCTCCGAAAGTACCAACATCATTCTGTCTTTTAACAGCATCTGTGAAAATGTAAACTGAACCTAGAGCTTCGCGTGGTCTCGTTTGGACGAACGAAGGAGTAGAATTATCCTCTGTCCCGCGCTGGAAGCCCACGTAGCTAGTTAGTGTGCCCGCCGCCATTGTTGTTGATGTTTGTTCTCCGCTACTGCGCATGTCCAAATTTACGTGCGGGGAGCAGCGCGGAGGTGGGGGTCAGAGCAGAGGGGGATTTCACACCTTTTCCCTCTCGTGGGTGTGAAAGAGAGCCCCCGCTGTGCAGCGTTTCTGAGCTGTCCCACTCTGCAGGCTGGATCTGAACACTTACATTTTCACCCCCCTGGAACACAGTCTTCGTATGAACGGTTGGTAGAAACCGACATTCAACTCTACTGTTTTACTGCCACATTGTCTCCGTGCAAACTCAGCCTTAATCTAATTGTACATAATAAATCTTACACAAAACACTTTTTAACATGATTGCTCTTTTCCTGTCTTTGCACGACCTGAGTGTTCTTACTTATGAAAAATGTGACATGTACATTTCTCCATTGCGAGAAAAAGTTTATCTTATCTTATGAATCAATCAATATTAATCATTATGGACGACTTGTGTCAGAGAAAATATTCTGCTTATTACCCGGCTACAATAATCCGGATCATTTTTGACTGCTGTGTGAAAGCAGCTATAATAAGAAATTAAAAAGAGGCAAGAAATAAGAAAGCAGAAACATATTTTTACTCAAATACCTCTGCAACTTTCAGCTTTTCCTGCAGAGGCTGTCGATGCACCGCTCCATTGTTCCTTCCTGCAGTGTTAAAGCTGCTAATGAGGAACCTCGGAAGGAAGGCAATTATAATCAAGCCTGCACCTGACTATCATCTCAAACACCGCTCTGCTCCGGTGTGGTGGAGGAACTTGGCTTTCCTCAGGGATAATGTGACAAAACCAATTCATTAAATTAGCTCATCTGCAATGATTACGCTCTATCTGGTCCCACCACACATTCGGTACATTGGACCACTATACGCCGAGGAGAAGGAGCGGATGGGACTGCAAACTTGTGCTTGACAGATAATGAGATCTTTGGTGGTACAAGACAAGCCAAGAAATTCTCTCTCTGTAGCCTGAAGCAGAAAAGGAGGAGGGACAATGCATTAACTGCTACTGTAGCAGGTTAATTGGGGGCTTGGGAAGTTTTTGGTGGAACACAACTAGACGACAGAGAAAGAGAGAAAACTACACACTATGGAAAAAAGCAATATTTCACTGAAAAGGCAATGCAAGTAACTTATATTAGGCAGAAGTTGTGCTTTTCGATCCACGGTAATATTATTTGTCCTCTTCATTAATGTAATATAAATGTCTTTCTCCCACTGGGGTTTTTTCCTTGCTGATGTAGATTCCAAGGACAGTAGTGATGATCCAGGACACTCGACATTCAACGACATTTATCAACATTTGAGTAAAGTTTATTTTTATAGTGCATTCTTGCAGACCAAGGTCACTCAAAGCGCGATTTTCAGAGTTCAGATACTGTTCCATTCTCTCCACACGGTGTTGACAGCCGCCAACCAACGCTATCTATTCACTCGCTCGTTACATTCAGACCTGTTTTGCATGTTTTTAGTGGTAAGGCAAACCGGAGCACCAGGAGAAAACCCACGCAGACACGGGTACTCCACTCAGAGAGGCCCTGTTCCGCCTGGGATTCGAATCCAGGACATTATGGACATTGGTCACCCCCCCCATACGGACCATTGGCTCTGTATTATTTTTTTCATCACGACATTTCTTGGGATTGATCTATGTTGGCGAATTTGACGGTCTTCTAAAGTCCTCCGAGATGAGTTAACTAATGTTGGGATTTAGGGCTACACAAACATCAAAGCAGAGGAGATCATTTTGAATACTTTCTGTGTTGATCAAAAAACCTCAAGAGAAAGCACTCACCTTGTGGCTTTGGATCATGAAGATTATGCAGCACTGCAAAGATGGAGAGACAAACGGTTACCCTGAGGAGCATCAGAAGTGTTTTGTTCTAATGGCTGCCCATATTAAGTACATGAAGTGGAGAGGAAGACTAATGAAGACGGATGAGTGTGCCCTTAATGAGCGTGATTATAAAAATGATCATGATCTGGGCCTACGCTGCCAAGAGTGATGAGCGGTAAATGCCTAATGACACGGTCTCCCGGCACAAAAGGCCTGACAGGAGCAGGTCCAGACCTGTCCAGACCCACCCTGAGTGCACTCTCCTCCAGTGCAGTTCTCGGCGGACAGGGCCACGCCGTCGCACAGCCGTCCTCCGTGTTTGGGCTCAGGAGCAGTGCACTCTCTGGACCTCTGCCGCTCACAGTCCACGTTACACAGGGTCCACTCGCTCCACTCCCCCCAGCCGCCGTCCACTGAGAGGTTGGAGAGAGAGAGAAGAAGAAGAAGAAGAAGAACTGGTCAATCAGACTGATGCTAGCACCTGCCCCCGGTGTTGTCGCATATAGTCTGAGAGAGATAGCTCAGAGATTCAAGCTCGGTTCATACTTTAATGAAGAAACCTAATTTTCTTTCTATTATTATTTGTATTCATTTTTTATTATATATATGATCTATTTTGTGTCTATTTATTTGTATTATTTGTTTTAATTAGAACTTTATATACATGATTTATTTTTTATTTATATTTATTTGTTTTAATTTAAACTTTATATTCATGGTCTGTTTTTGTTTATTTTCTCCTCATCTCATATTTTTAGTTCAAATAACTGCTTTTACTGTCTGTCGAATGTTTATTGACAATATAAATTACAAAAAAAACTACATTCTAAACCTATTATATCCTTTCATTGTTATTTTTCTAATAATTGTATTTATTTATTTTTTTAAGTACAAAAAGTTCTGTGACAAACAATTGAGAAAATAATGAGACAACCAAAAAGATTCCATACTGAGCTACAACAATTATTATTCATTCCTATTTTTTTTTCTTTCACATCTTTTACAAGTAGGAACCAATAATATTATTTTGTATATTGTCATCGAGCTGCACTTAGGGGATGAGCAGGACCATGGACCTCCCCTTTAATCAGATTCAAATTCAGTTCATTTGCCGTCGGAATACAGTTACAAAAGTATCCCAGTGTGCACCAGATGAGTACAAGGAGCTAAAAAGTACAGGAAGAAGTTGTCAACAAAGACAGCTTCAAAAACAATAATAAATTCAAGATTTAAGAGTCTGGATTCCTAATTTCTCACTATTTACAAAACCTATTGTGAGTGTTTTGTAAAAGAGAATTCCCAAGAAGCTGCATTTGTTTATGGCCCCAAAACAACATGTAAAACCATTTTTTATACTTATGTTCAAGATAGAGTTTTTATGCTTGTTCTTTAATGCTAGAGTTAGAGATTTAGTTTTATTTTAATTAGTATAGCTATTGTTCACTTGTCTCGTGCTGTGTGCTCCTCTTTCCTACTGTTCTATAACTTGTGACACAACACTGACATTTCCCCACTGTGGGACAAATACATATCTTAATATTAAATGTGACAATTTATACTTTTATGCATTGGATCCTAAACCATTTTCAAAACAAAGAACCTCCAGAACAGGCAGCTTTAACGACTTTGTGGAGGGTAATTAAGTCATGTTTATTTATATAGTGGATTTTACAGACCAAGGTCACCCAAAGCACTTTACAATTTCAGAGTTCAGATATTTTCCCATTCTCTCCACACAGTGATGATGGAAGCGAGACGCTAAGGCTAGAGCCTTTTAGTTTATGTAAATAAACACTGAAATAATGTATGACATATGTCATTGTATGTCCTATTTCACTCTGCATCCTTTGAGGTTTGGGACAAAAAACAGTTTTTTAAGCCTTGCCTAAAATAATAAATTTCTAAAGGCCCTAACAAAGGCATACTTCATTGTAAGTTCACAATATTCGATCAGAATCACGATCCCCTTATTGCCATGTGAGTAACAGGAAGTCACAAACTAGGAAATTGCTTTGGCAACGATCATAGTTTTGTTGGCAACAACTGTCTAAAGTTTCAGACTTCTAGGTTTTATCGTTTTTATGCAGTTGATAAACTGCATAAAAAAGAGAGAGTCTTATTAGCACTACATCCACTGTAAACAGGTTTGTGCATATGTAGTACTGATCTTTAAGAGCTTGCCCTACTTTCTTCTGCAACATTTCATCCACTGAGACAGCTGGAATGTTTCATGTCATTATTTTCCAAGAGCACTATTACCCCAGATAACCTTGGAGGGTACAAGAAGAAAATCTAGGGTAATAGTGAACCGCAAGACTGACAATAGAGGGAATAAAATCTTCTTTTCACCTCATATTCTAGTCGCACATGTGTGAGAGCTTGGAGGAAAAGATACAGATACATCATTATTTGCTTAAATTACAGAACATTTCTCCAATCTCTCGTCCTTACTCCCGACATCTCAGTACCACAGACTCAAAATGACCTTTTTAAATGAAGAATTAAATATAAAATTATTTCAGGCTGGTAAAAAATAAACAAAAAAACACTTTCTTTGCGCCTGTTTTATTTTCTAAGGTCATATATGATATAATTTGCTTTGTAACTTTTCATACAAATAAATAACCTGAAATAGTATGTGGTGAATTGCAAATGACACAGCGTGAGTCCGTTTTTTTACCTTAAGGTGTTGTTTGAAACTTCCTCCTCCACTTTCTTAAATCCACCGCCTTGTGCTAATCTAGGCTCAAACGCACTCTGTTCATGTTGAAAAACCCTGATGCACCGAGAAGAAGAAGTAGAAGCGGCCGGTAAAAAGCAGATAAGTTTGAGAAGTGCACTGCTTTCTCTCGATAACTTTTTTTTTGAAAGAAGGAATTGACTTGATGCAGAAGCTGTTTTGAAAAGCATATAAATGTAATAAATGTATGGCCAGAGCAGATTATGGACTGTACTTTTTCTCCCACAGACGCGGCTCATGCATAAGACTTTTCAAACACCTATATGCTGCGTATAGTTCCGATAGACGTTTATTTCATTTGCTTTTTGAGTGTCTATACCACACAGATGGACACAAATCCACAGACATATGAGCAGATAAGGTAGGCTGTCCTTTTGGCGTGCAGGACAATGTGTGAAAGAAGTCGTCTGTGTGTGTTCAGGATCCTTCTCTATAGTCTAGACTCTAGAGGAGAGCAAACAGTTCTGTTTTAAAAATATTTATGTGATGATATGAGGTTGAGTCTACAATCTTTACTTCCTGGATTGATATGTGTTTGGAACAAAATGGCAGAGAACTATACTTCCTAAGCCTCTATACTCAGGCTGTCACCCACAAACTCTTTAGATTGGGTTGCTTTTGGATAAAATACCAAAGTAGCCAACATTCTCTTTGTGGATTTTTAAGGTTATATGTTTGTGTGTGTGTGGAATTATTTATTTTTGAAATTAACTATTGCTACTGAGTACAATGTATTGAATACTATCAATTGTATAGTTGTTTTTGTTGAGAAAATTACCTTTGAAATGAGGTATAACAAGCCATGGTAAGCCATATCCTTGTACCATCAATTTAACATCCATCCATCCATCCATCCATTTTCTTCCCCTTAATCCATTTCTGGGTCGGGGGGTGGCAGTCAGAGCTGCACCCAGTCCACTTAGCACCAGCCCCTCACTGATCCTCCTGCAGGTGGTGAGTCCACAGGAGCTGAGATCTTTCAGCGGGTGCTTCAGGCAAAGTGGGGTTAAGTGTCTTGCCCAAGGACACAACGACAGCATCATCAGTGGGAGTCGTGAAGTAGGTGGGCTTGAACCCACGACCTTCAGCCCCAAAGGCCAATGAATCAATTTAACAATGAAGATAAAATGGTCGGCGACAGTAGCTCAGTTGGTAGAGCATTGGCCTTCAGGCCTGAAGGTCGTGGGTTCAATTCCCACCGCTACACCTTTTCCACCGACTCCCACTGATGACTGCTGTCGTTGTGTCCTTGGGCAAGACACTTAACCCCACTTTGCCCAAAAGCCCCCACTGAAAGATCAAGGCTATGCTCACAGTCAGAGAGCAGCCGTCCTCCTGTGGACTCACCACCTGCAGAGGGTCAGTGAGGGGCTGGTGCTATGAGACTTGGGTGGCATCTCTGACTGCCACCCCCCTGACCCAGAAATGGATTAAAGGGTAGAAAATGGATGGATGGATGGATAAAATGGTCTTGAAACAAATGGTCCACTCTTGCCTTAAGCGGTTGGAAAAAAATGTATTGATATATGTGTGTGTTAGCGTAAGATGGGCCATTAGATACCCATGAAACTATTATCTACTAATTAGTGCACACAATGGAAATGGGTGCTGAGTTACTGGTATCTGCTAAGCTACTGGTATCTGCTGAGCTACTGGTATCTGCTGAGCTACTGGTATCTGCTAAGCTACTGGTATCTGCTGAGTTACTGGTATCTGCTTAGCTTTACCAGTGCTTTAACACAGAGACTTCTAGAATTCTGAAACTATACCAAAACTCCTGTTTCGACCAATTTTGGAATTCTCACTATTCTCACATTTATTCACTATTAAGAGCAAAAACTGGTGAATATAAATGAACTACAGCCAAAAATTGTTTGTTGAAAGGCTACCGAATGCTGACAGTAAACAGTGTGTTGCTATGGTAACTAGCACTTTCTCTGGTGAAAATAGCTGCTCTGGGAGTTAGTTATAATTCCTCATTTTTCAAAATGAAAAGATGATTTCCTAAAAACACAAACATAGACATGAACTATATATCGAAACAAAAACATAATAAGTACGTAATTGCACTTTCAAAACTAAAAATCGTTAAATTGACGGCTCTGTGAGTTCTAGTGTTAATAGTTTTGGAGCCCCTAAGCTTTACAGGGAGACCGCTAGATAAACTCCAGCCTGACCTTATCCGCTCAATTATCATTTCTCTGCATGTAACGTCTGGGTCTGTCTTTGCGGTTGAATTCCATCTGACCAATCAGAGAGCATGGGAGGTGGGTGTTGTAGTTAGTTGTGGGTGACGTCAAGAGTTTGCGCCGAACGAGTAGGTTGTAGTTTGGCAATGGCTAAGAATGCGATAGTAAAGTATTCTGGTCTGGTTCTATCAAGAAATTGAAGCCGGAGCAAGAGGAATGTTTAGCAAATGTAATTGCTGGCAAAGATTGTGGCGCTACTCCCCACGGGCTCCGTTAGCAGCAAAGGAGATGGCTAGGCTAAATGCTAAATGCTAACCACTCACTCGGGCGAATTACACGGTAACGGTAAACTCATAACCAATCGTTTCAATCTGCAAAAGGAGTTAACCCCTCCCACCTGTTAACGGAGCTCAATGGAGCACCTCCAGACCTTGGTACGAAATGTAATTTGTACTATGGTGTGGCTAGATAAACTCTGACTTTACTCTAAACTTTTACTGATAGAAACCTCTTAGTAAGACTCTTCCCCATGGGTTTTTGCAGCCGACGCGTTCCTCTGAGGTTGTGTGGCTAACATTAGTTTCCATGTTCTTTCCGTTTACACAGGGCAGCAGACAGTGGTACCTGGGCAGAGAATGTTGCAGGTGCTCTTCTGCACCGACATGCCCTCGCAGAAGGTCCCTCCGTTCAGAGGAGCGGGGTTGGTGCAGGAGCGCGAGCGTTTCTGCACGCCGCGACCACAGCGCACGTTACAGGGAGACCAGTCCGTCCACATCGACCATCCTCCGTTCACTGCAGGTAACAAAGCACAATAAAGTACACAAGAGAGATGAGACCGACGTGAAAAAGTGCCTCTGACTTCAACACACACAGACTTCAGGCTCTGTCACAACACATTTATGCAAAGAAACACAAAAATGATCAATGGCGTCTTCCCTTCTGCTTGCCAAATTTTCATTCCTGATTTGTTGTTTGAAGAAATGTCGAGTGATTGACTAATAAGCTTGTTGTCTGCGATGGCGAGTGAAGAAATACTAGTGCCTCGACAAGTGCATCTGTTGGAGGAGACTGGGAGCAGTAAGCCTGTCAACGACTTCATTATCATTATGTAAATTAATGATCGATCGGCCCCAATGATACTTGTCAGAATGAATCACATGAATTTGTGCGGCGCCTAAATGCACGCTCATAAAACAATACAGCCAGAGAAAAAGTCATCATAAACAAGAAAGACTTCCCAAGCTCGTCGACTTAGATGATTTTTAGACAAACTTGCAATAGTTTTTGAAGCTTTCATGGGTAAAATATGCTCTCGTTCATTTCAAGTAATTGCCTTTCACATTGAGGGATACAATATAATTAATAACAAACTGTGACTTGATTATTGTTATAATAATAATACAATATAATGAGGCATAATACTTCATGTTGTGTCAGTCTGGAAATTAAATGGGGGGGGGGGGGGGGGGGGGAGTGTGGGGGTGGTTTTGAGGGGTTGACTGTGTATAGATCAAGCCCCGGTGATCCAAGATGGCGCCCTATTCAAATGAATGGCTTGTGCTCAGTAGCGCATGGGACTTCATGGAGACCGGGAGATTAGCGGAACTCGCCTGTATTTGGGCATCGTCTGGTCCTCCCGGTTCTGTGCAGTGGATGATCTCCCATAATGCGTTGCGCCAAACACGCGTGTGTGGGTCTCACACCAGGTCTTACGCACGTGCACAGAGGGGCTCTGCCACGCTCTGACCAATCAGAGCAGTTCATTAGAGCGGGAGTTAGAGCTGGAGCCAGACGAGCAGAGTTTGTGGCTCTAAAGTGTGGATTTAAACAAAAACGAAGGATTTAAGAAGAAAAAAAGTTCAGGATGACAAGGGACAATAAAATCCCCACAAAATCCGACCTTTATTAAAGCTGTAGGTTCTCTGTCAGCTGTCCTATGGGGAAAATTTCTGGGTAGCCCACGTGAATTTACTATAGTCTGGTTCAGTCTGCAGTACCGCGAGAATCCTCCGAGCACATGAGTTATTCAGCTACAAGCTAGTAATACCCTATCCAGTTAATATAATAGATCCATGGGAAACTCCAGCCTGCTTTAGCAAAACATGTCTGCTCCTGTTATGGCGCCAAGCTAACACCGCAGAGGAAATGCCCATATAAGGAAATTGGCACCAGCTAGTTTATGTTCAAATTAGCCTCTTCTGTTTTAAGGCTAACATTAGGGCAACGTAAGCACTCGGTCAGTCCACTAATATACAATGTGCGGCGATCCTAAAAAGAAAACGTACAGATTGTATCCAGTGTCAATAAAATAACTGTCTGTACTGCATTGTGTGAAAAAATGGCGATAAAACAAAACAAATCGTGAATTGAACATCACCAAAAAATAACAAATTATGATTCACATAGTTGAATTATAATAGAAAGAATGAAATTAAACTATCTTTTCATATTCTATTGCTCGTTTTAGCATTGAAAGACCAAGTCCAAAATCACCACGGGCCTCGTGCGCTGAGGTCTGAGGGCCATGGCTCCAGCTTGTGGAGCCTAAGACGAGACTTAAAACCCGGGGAGGACAGGGCCGTCTCGGTGGTCTTAACCCCAGGGGGCAGGTCCAAAGCTGTGGAAAGCTCTGCCCCCCCACCCCACCCCAGCCACACACACACACACACACATCAAAACAGGTTTACTGCTGGAATGTTATAAATCTTGTCTTAAGACTCAAATTTATTCTCTGGCTTTAAACGCCACGTGACTTGTGTGCCCCTCTGTCATTTATTTATTGTATTGCTTGATTAGGAGGAGAGAGGAGGGGATTGGATTAAAATATCCCTTTTCCTTCGACCAATCCCTTTTCAAACCATGCACAGGTTTTCTTGTTTACTGTTATTATATATTTCTGTAAATAATTGTTTGTATATCTTTTGAAACGAATAAATACATGCAAAAAATACTCTATGTATATATAATTGGTATTTTATTATTGATATTTCATCTATTGTAAAAGCTGGCGGGCTTGTATGTTTACATGTTTTGCTTTTGTCTCTGTGCAGCTCTGTGCAGAACATTTGAATACATATTCTATAGAAATAAACTGGATTGATTGGATTGAACTAACTTATGTTTATATGTTTATTAATGTATAGATAACGTGTATTTAAATTCATAACAGTACATAAATCTGCCAAACTTTTTTTTTTGGTCATGTGTTTACTTTTGTCTCTGTGAAACACTTTGGAATGTTGCGTTTCCAAAATGTTCTATATAAACAAACTGGATTGATTGGATTGAAATAGCTTGAAAAGAGCAGAAGCAGCCTGCTGAGTACTGTACACAGCCGAGGCACTCAGAATTGGTTGTGTGGCCTCAGCGTGTTGTGACAGAGTATGGCATTTATCTCTTAATAATTAATCAGGATAAAATATTGCGACTTCTCTCAGTGTTTAGAGCCATGTGTCTGGGGCATTATTTGTTCATTAGTAAAACCACGCAGGGACAAGCTCGTCTCTGGAAAAGGAAAAATCATTGGAGGTTTGCTTGCGGTACCGTTGGCAGTCCTCTGATGTAACATGTATTATTTAAAAGCCAGAGAGGAGGTTGGAGGAGCGAGCGGGTCCTCACCGTACACCACCACCGTCGCAGTGGCGCTCCGTCGCTTGGCCACGATGTTGCTGGCCGCACACGTGTAGTTCCCAGAGTCCGACAGTCGAGCTTCTGTTATGATGAGGTTATGGTCGCCTCGAGTATTGATCACTCCGTCATCGTCTATGGCATCGTCGTTTTTCAGCCATTCCACCTGTAGAAAAAAAGACATATAGGTTCATAAACACCTAGAAGAAAAAAAACATTCAGATTCAGCTTATTTGCCATTTGCAGTAAAACCCCATTGGAATAATTAAGTCACCAGTGTGCACCAGGTAAATATATATATATATAACCAGCTAAAAAGTACAGGAATAAAACAAGTTAAAAGTACTTGTGCTTTGTAAATACAACATTATAAGTACAACAGAGGAGTAAACAATGGCCATAACCAAATCATTTATTAAATTTGACTTATTGATATTCTCTACTCATTAGCCATAGATTTGACTGAGCCACCAACTTTCTTTTTTTTTTCAAACACAAATTATGTATAGTAGAAAACATTATTTTGGGTCGCCATGGCAGCCTCAGGGCCAACATTGAACCATCAGACTGACGCATTTGGGCCAAAGTTTGGACACCCCTGGTTTTTAATAGAGGTCACTCAGGTCTAAGGAAGGGGACAAAATGAGTAATGTGTTAATAATGCAATATGTGCAATTATGAATAATATGTAGTGTATTGGGCGACAGTAGCTCAGCTGGTAGAGCATTGGCCTTCAGGCCTGAAGGTTGTGGGTTCAATTCCCACCTCCACACCTTCTCCACCGACTCCCACTGATGACTGCTGTCGTTGTGTCCTTGGGCAAGACACTTAACCCCACTTTGCCCAAAAGCCCCCACTGAAAGATCAAGGCTATGCTCACACTCAGAGAGCAGCCGTCCTCCTGTGGACTCACCACCTGCAGAGGGTCAGTGAGGGGCTGGTGCTATGAGACTTGGGTGGCATCTCTGATTGCTACCCCCCTGACCCAGAAATGGATTAAAGGGTAGAAAATGGATGGATGGATGTAGTGTATTGTATTGAATTTAAAGGTGATGTCAGAAAACTAAATTGTATCTAATTTCTAAAAGAATAGATGTTTCTGACCAAGGGGCAACAATAATATATTTTAAATAGTCACTCCCACTGGCAAAACTACGACCAGATAAGGTTGGTTGGAGGAGGACAGTTAAACCAATTACAAGGGCCCTCAAGGATTTTAATGAATTTCAACCAATCAGGAATCTGCTGGAGTGAGCAAGGGCGGGTCTAACCTTTGCTCGTCTTCAAAAAGCTTCACTCTCTCTTCACAATTTAAAAAGTAACTTAGATTCACTTTTGCGGTCCGTCACTGTTTGGTAGAACTTTTTGGGTGCAACATTTTTTATTTTTATTTTTTTTTACATCGTTGCGTGTTTACTCCAACAACATCCTATAATTGTGAGTATGACAGTAACATGACAGTTACCTTTACCTAAAGTCAGATTAAAACTTTGGTGACTTACATGCACCGCAGTGATTAGTTCAGAGGACTATCGCAGACTTCCCGCAGTTCTCAGTCCTGCTCCTGCCTCTCAGAACGGTGTCCAGCTGCATTTCACAATGTATGCACAGCTTTTGACAGCTGCAGCAGCACTCACAGCAAACAGGTTTGATATCTCCATGATCACACTTCAGCAGTGGTGAGTTCAGGTGGTCAAAAAAGTGCATAAAGTGTGACGAGGGGTTTCATACTCCTATAACCTATGGCTGAGACTTCCCGGATTTTGCCAACTGTACATAAAAATCATGTTTTTTTTTTTTTTCAGAGTAACCCCTGCAATAAACAAAGGACCTCTATATGTAGTTTTAAAGTTGTATTTGTAGCATCTCTGTCAGTCTCACATTGTGCATCCCAAACGAAAAACTGATTTCAAATATTCAGACTCCAAACTATAGAGTCGTCACACGCAATATCAGTGGACACATAGCTTACACGTACAACCTTGCCTTTACACAGTATTCCAATCAAAATTTAAATACTGAATACAAAAAAAATCCACATTCTTTTGAAGTGGAACCCAAGATATAAAGGGCAAATCATTACGCCTCACAGATAAAGGAGCCGTCGAGCTAAAAAAAAACGTGACTGACAATCTATTGTGTGGAGGATAATGCGTTCTCCGGGTCACCTCTTCATCTGCGAGTCATTCGGCGTGCGTGCAGCAGAAGAAAGTAATAAGGAATTACAAACTAAAGCAGGCCGTGTTGACGCTCTCCTTCCACGCACGGCTGCTCCTATGAATTGCTGTTAATATGCCAGTGGTTTGAGCCTTCCATTGGGGGAGATGCACCCGGGCGCCAGATAGAAAGAGAGCGAGACAGAGAGAGCGCTTTGATTTATGACTGAGTATTTGAGGATTAAAAACTCCGCCTAGTTGGGAGCATGTGTAAAGGCTTGCAAACTGGCTGCATTTGCCAAAGGGGAATAGAACCGCAGCCAAGAAGAAAAAACTCAAACGATGGCTTTGCTCTTTTTCAAGCAATCTGTGAAAGTAAAATGAGCAGACACAAATCAATATATCAAGAATCGTGCTGTATAGTGTAGGGTTTGTTGTTAAGGGTGATGGATGTGGGTTTAATTCAGCTTCGTATGATCGGATGTCGTTTGTGATGAACGTGGCACGGGTTGTTTTGCCTTTTTCTCTCGATCTTACGCGTTCGTTAGATTGCTCGGTTTGTGTTGCTGCACGCACGGCATTTATCCACAGACGCCGACATTAGTTCAGTTGACTGTGAAGGAAGCCAGTACATGTACTACAAGAATGAACACATGTTTGAGGCTTTGAGAGTATTTTTTTTTTCAGCTCAACTTATGTAACCTCGTTGCCATTGTTGAGATTGAAAAACAGATGCGTTCCTGTATAAAGTTTGGCTAATTGTCTTAAACTGAGGAGACATTCTCAAAAATATATGGATAGATCTTTAGTCCACCTTGATGGTAGTGACTCTTTATGGTATGGAAGGTTGGAAGCATGTGTGAACAGTTATGGGAGAGATATTAGATTATGGGAGTGATAAATACTTGCTTACATGTATTACCTTGTATTTATTACATCGAACTTGTCCTTCAAAAGAACCACAAACAATCATTTAACTCAAAACCAAATGAACCTTTTTGAATAAGTGACCTGAAATGTAAATTACATTATTGTTTTGACATTGTCATTTCGGTTTCAAGAAATGAGCCAAACCGTCTGAATGAAGCTGTACTGCATTATGCACCTGCAGCTGTAATGATTTAGTGCAACTAATAGAGTTTTGCAATAATGGACAAATAATAACTATTTTAACTGCTCTGTAATTAGGAATTATGTTAATGTCTTGTTTGTAATGAAAATCTCATACTACCTCTGGTCACTTTGATAATCTACGCTCTTAAAAGGCTATTGTGTTATTTTACCTTTAGTATATAGAATATGTAGGACCCACACAAACAAACTCATTTCACCTTCTTTGTAAATGCTGGCTTTGTCTTTGTGTTCCACACAGAAAGTGAAGTGTTTGAACATGAGAACAAACCTTTGTACTACAGCAGCTCCAGGACCTTCAGTGTTTGCTGATGCTCAGCTCTGTCAGGACGACCAGAGCAAGAGGATTTCATGTTTTGGGTTGTGGGGTAAACCGGAGCGCCTGGTGGAAACCCACCCAGACCAATGAGTAGAAACATTCAAGCTCCACTCAGAAAGTCCTTTCTTAGCTTCAAAACAAACCTTGAATGGGACAAGGGAGCTCCAGGTCTGGTTATTTTTAGGTCACAAAGGTCAATATAAATGAGAATGATCCAAGATGGCGGCCACCGCAAGTTTCTTGATTGTTTTAGGAGACAGATAACAGGAGTAAAGTCTCACTACTCACTGTGAGAATCAAACAAACACATGAGAGACTTTTGTTTGTTGTTGACTTATTGTTTGTAATTAATTTGCTTTTCTGCAGACACTTCCTATTTCCTCTGATTTATCCTTTAGCTGTCCAATCAAATGCGACCAAACAGGGCTCAGAGATGGACAGCTCGAGGCAGAGATCCCTCAGGTATTTGACACGTAATATAGTATAATCTGGTTATGGCTGGTCAGGCTGCCAATTATCCACAATTGCTTTTGTGTGGAGACCAGATTCACAGAAGGTTTCATGAATCTATTCCGCTATATGGACATTTACCTGTTGTGAAAAGAGAATGCTTATTTAGTCTGATTCTCTACGTGCTTTGTCCCTCCAGCATATTTCCTGCTGCTGCATGTGTTGGCGTCGGATCAGGAGGAGCACGATCTACATTCAGAGATAGAGAGCGGCTGTTGGAGGTGGGACTGCAGCGACTTGCACTAGTCTGATAAGACAGTGCCAGGGGAGGCCTACACTGATTTACTTAATTGGGAAATTTGTTCCACTGTTTTTTTTGTTTTGTTCAAGATATCAGCAACTTGAGTTGAACTGCACAGACCTCACACACAGGCCCCCGGGCACTTCGCTCTGACCAGCACAGAAAGAAGAAAACATGCTTCTGAACCTGCACTCGGACTGAAAAAACTCTCACTGCTATAGTCCATTTTTACTGCTATTGTACATTATCTTGCACAAAAGAGATTATATTTTAACCTGAGTGTATTTCTATCTATGCCAATGGAACATTTCTCCATGGTGAGATCAATAAAGTTTATTCGATCTTAACTTTTCTTGACTAAACCTGTGCTCCAACAATGTTACATTTTTACTTTACATTCAGCTCATTCTGATTTTTAAAACATGGACGATCCATTAAGAGTGAGGTTGTCATTATTAGTTCCTGTTTTATTTTGTAATATCTGTTCTGTGTCTTTTTGAGTTAACTCTCTAGCTTTAGCATAATAAAGAAGCAAGTCTAAAATCTTTAGCTTTAGCACAATAAAGAAACAAGTCTAAAATCTCCAACTTTAGCATAATGAAGAAGCAAGAATCAAGTGTGGTGGTAGGCCCCTTGAGCCGCCGGTAGCCTATTGCGTGCCGCCTCACCATTTAAAAGGTAGTTAGCTCACCTGCGCTCCTTCTTGCCTCTGACGTCACCCACTGCCTGGGAGCTGGCAGCAGCATGAGCTGGAGCCTTGCCAGATCTGTGATTTGCAATTGAAACCAGCATCACTTGCTTTTCAGTGA